GGGGGGGGGGGAGGATGGGGGTATCGGTATGGGGATGGGGAATCAGGGCGGAGCCAACATTGTTAGGTAGGTGGAATCGAGTCGCGCAAACGCTACGCCCCCTACTTTTCCTCTTTACGCGAGGGGGGGTCTCATATAGATTTTTTTTTCGTAGGTCCTCAGACTTGCGCAAACTCACTTACTCCGGGCGACAACCCCTTCGCGAGATACCGCCGCACTATATGTATATATGACTTTTTTCTGACTCTTTTCCTTTGTGTCAATTTTGTCAATTTAACGGGAAAAAAAAATTTTTTTTTTTTTCAATCGGGTACACGCGGCTATGGGATTTTGATCGGGTAATCGAAATTTTTTTTATTTTTACCATGAACTCATATTTTCTTCGCGGACTTGAAAATTTTTGCTCGCCGCTTCTCAAACGCGATTTATCGCTATGGGCTGTTATACTCGAGTCAACGAGGATCCAATGAATTCGGCGTGTTTCGTAAGAGCACGCGGATGGCAGAAACGCAGTTAAAACGCGACAGTCGTAAAGGTACCTCGTAAAATAATGTCCCGAGGGTCCCCGTCATTAATCACCCAACGGTTCATTTCTTTGTGCTAAAACTAAAAATTCCTAGTACCTTTTTACTGCTACGCTCGGAATGGCAAATATTATTTTTTGTTTTTAGCCAAGAAACAATCATCGTAAAACAATCGATACGATATAACCGTAAAACTCATTGGTTATGGCGGTAACATTGCCATTGCCGTTATTGTGCATTACCATATTCCTTATCTCTGAATCAGGTGTACCTATGGTACTTTGAGGGGCTTTCGAGTATTAATTATCACACGTATACCCCCCCGGGAGAGACTCGCAAGGAAGACAGTCCGGGTCACGAGCTTAGGGGCGCCAACCGTAGCCATCGTCAACGGGGGCGCAAGTGACTAAACCGAAGAGAATGGATAGAATGATGAGAATGGATAGAATGAAGAGAATAGGAATAATAGTAAGAATAAGAAGAATGGCAAGGAACGTGGTGGGCCACCGAAGGATGTCTACCGGGGAAGGTCGCAGAAGAGGAGTAACCATACCTAGGTGCCAGGTATAAGAAGCGTCATCGTCACGAGCTGGTCACTGACACCCTGTAATGTTTACCGTGGTTAGTTAATACCGAGAAAGGCGTTAGCCAACAATGCTGCCATCCCGCTTAAGGGTTTTCCCGATCCAGTAGCGATGGTGGGGATCTATGGTAGGGGATCTATGGATCCGGCATGGTGCCCGGGAGGACAAAGAATTTTGAAAAAAAAAAAAAAAAAAAAAAGACGGCCCTGTAAGTGTCATTAATTTTTGGTTATCGTACAGCAAGATTACATCCGGTCGATGGGTCGTCGCGACGCCTGGCGTCGACGATCTTTCGGGTTTGCGCAGGCTTAATCCCAGTCCTTTTCTTCATCCCTTTAACCAAGTGGATACCTGGTATTCTGCACTCGGGTATAGGTTGTATATACCCTTGATTGCCAGGACCCACAAACTCACGTACTGTACGCGTTTCACGTTTAATACCGATTTTCTCTATTGTTGTATGTAGATATAGCTTCTTTATGGTACAGTATACCCGGTTAATGGGGCCTTGTTAATCGGCGATGATGGTTTTTAATGTAACAAAAAGGTTTGTTTATATTGAACGCGCGAGCCTTTACGTTGTAAACTATCCCCTTGGGCCTTCTTTACTGCTGTCTTTCACGGCGGAGCTAGTGTCCCTCCCCCCTGGGTATTCTGGTCGGAAAACCGTAAAATGTCGATATATTCACCCCTTGATGGTTTCAAATGCTTATTATATATTGTCCGAAGTAGGACCCCCCCGGTGCAATGGGCCTTTGTCTTGGGCCTTATTTTATTCGGTAGGAGATAATTGTGTGCTTCCGAGGAATAGAGGTGCATCCTGCTAATACACGTAGATGGATACCTGTACAGGCACTTGTCGAGTTCCGACGCTCTGCCGTTTGGATGACTGTTACGGAACCGGGTATTATGGAGTACGCGAGTTCGGAGTCTCTCAGTCAATTTGAGCCTCATCCGTCGTAAGCGGATCGGGCAGAAGCTGGCCTTTTAACGTCCTCACCTTGGGTACTCGCCACCATGGATGCCTATAACAAACATTATCCACCATAATGCCCCCCCGTGTAAATACAGACACACACGTGCCGCGGCTCAGCTGATTCGTCAGTGTGTCTCTATGTACGATCTACGTATTTATACGATCGGTCGCCTTCTGGCCGCATCCGCAACGACCGCATGAAAACGAGGAGTCGTTCGTCGTTCCCTTATAGACTATAAAGTCGTTTAGCACCGTTTAGCGTTGCTCGGCGATACAACGTGTTAACGTACCGTTATTAAAATCCTGTCGGGAGTCCCTTCTTCCTCTTAAGGACTTCCGGTTCAGCACGCGAACGACAGTTTGACTTGGTAATTTTTGTCAAAAATAAAAAATTTTTTTTTTTTTTCGGAAATTTTCACTGGGATTTTCCAGGCCTAACGGGTGTTCCGTTAGAATTTTCAAAAGGATCGAACGGTTAGGCAAAATTTTCGACTTTTGGCCACAATAGGCATACATCTGCGTAAATTCGCGAAATCGTACGGTACGAAAGGGTCGTTTACATTGGACGTTACTACTCGAAGTAATTGGCAGGTTCCTCGCGTTTATCTTTAGGATCTCCCAGGGACTCGGGGGGGGGCCTCTTCCTTTGCCGGGCCCCACGGGTGGCCATTCATACGAAATCCCCACTCCGATGGTCCGAGCCTCCGGATCCCCACCCCCGCCACACTGGGAAGAGACCCAAGGGCCTGGAAAACTATTTAGGGCCCCTCGCAGTGGGGGTAGGAGCACAGTTCGAGCGAACACTCAACCGAGCGAGGTCTGTCTTGCTTGGCTAAGATTTTCCACGGCAACGTGCCGCCGTCCGCCGTCGCCGGGAAACAAGCTGCTTTCGCGGGGAGGCCTTAGTCCCAGGGGCCCCGAGTCATTGCCGGTACTCGTAACCATCTGTGATATCAGTCGTGCGCGGGCTGTATTGGGCTGTGCCAAGGACCTTCGGGACAAGTGCTAATAATTGATTGACTGTTTTTTGTGCTACCGTGTGATTACAGTTGTATACCCGTGTTCCGTGTATCGCCTCTGGCACACTATTGGGACGGTTTTAGGTGAGACTGGTGTTTATATCGATGATTTTTGTTTGGACTTTTTTTTCTCTCGTGTGTACTCGGAGAATAACACGTCTTAGGTGACGATTGGACTGTGATAGAAATCGGACCTTTCATTGTCGGTGACAATTCCCTCGTGAACGACGTTACGTGTGATATTCGTAAAGGCTAATTCGACAGTGGCAATACAGATGCGTTTAGCCTGGTGGATTTAATCGAGTGAATGTCGGCTTATACGGGATACTATTCGTCGTTCCAATCGGTGAGTTTACGTGATACTTGGTTCACACGATACGAGGACACGCGAGGTTCTTGGTCGTTAATCGTAATTTTATTCGATCGCGTATACGGGGCTTGTAATTGATTAATTGCACGTTCGGATTGACTCTCGTGAATTCGTATCAGTGTCTGCTCTTTTTTTTGTTGGCTCGTAAAAATTTAACTTTTAATTCCGTACGGGCTCCTGCGGTTACTTTGACAATAGTCAAACGGAACTCGCAAAAGAATGCTAATTCAGGGATATTGTGCTAGGCACGTATTCTCCATTGGCGTAACGTTCACGATCTCACGTTTTCCTCCCTTAGTCACAATGACATTTTTCTCACCTACCTTCCCTCTAAGATATGCGACCTGGCACTCGGACTATCGTACAATAGGTCGTCCTCGTTGCTGGTTTTGCCTTTTCTACTCGACCTGGTGGATCATACTCTTTTCTGTAATTAATATTATTTTACGTCAGATCGGGGCACAATTTGAATTTTGGAAATTTTACAAGACCGCGAGCGAGGATTTAAATAAACGGATGTATCGGACGCTTCCTACGGGCGACAAACCATAGAAAACCGCATATGGAGCCGAATTGGAATTGCGTTACGTAGTCGATCGACAATTCCACGGTAAAACCGCCGACAAGCCACGAAATACGAATTTTGAAAAACCGACGGGATATTCAGTAGGGAGTTAGTTAAGGTATAAGGTGCGCAATTCCAATAAAAAAAAGTTGGTTTGAAATTCCAGGTGGACGAGTACGAGCGATACACGACGGGTTTGAAGGAATTTCATTGCCTGGATAAGATCGCGAAGAACGAGAGTTCCGGCAAGAAGGGACAACTCCAGCAGTGTCAGGAACAGGAGCAATTGCACTTGGAGCAGCAGCAGCAGCAGCATCGCGGTAACCGCGAGGACTGGTGGTACAGCAGCGAGAGCGGTGGAAGGGGCGCAGGGGGTGCTGTGATAAGGGAAGAAGAGGGTGATAAGGGCGCAGCAGTGGCGGGTGAGCTGGCTTGCCTCGCAGGTTACATGGCGGGGTATCTGAAGGCCGCGGAGGCGACTTGCGGCCCTACCGGTGGTCCCCAGTACCACCCCCATGGCCACCCAGCCATGGGGGTCGGTAGCCACCCGCACCCACACTCTCACCCCCATCCGGGGGGACCTCATCCGGGACTGCCTTCTCCCTTCGCCCTGGCCACTCACGGACATCCGCATTCTCATCCACTGGATCATGGACTGGCTGCTTTCCCGCAGGGTGAGTCAAGAAAGCGAACGAACCCTTATTTCCTTATGCACCTTCGACCCCCTTGCCAGCACTGACCCAGTACTGGGCTCCTTGTGCACTTTTACGTAGGATACACGTAGCGTGGATGAAGAAATACAAATGTGCCTCCTTCCGCTTGGTCTCGATACGACGGGCGCGTCCTGTCGCGGCGTAAACTCCTCGATGGAGATTCCTGATAAGAGTGATTAGCTCGCGCTTAAGGATCGACTCCTGACAGAGTCGGACAGTGACCATGGGATTAATTGCGATAGGGACGTCTGATTCGGATTATTATTTCGTGCTGGTTACTGCCTTAGACGTCGATTAGAGATTCTCGGCCGATGACAGATTACTTAGTGGTCATCGATACAGTCTACGAGGCGTTTGCCCTGGCATGCGAACGCGCCTTGAGGAATCGTGGCAAGTGCCGATTGACTTGCCCAAGTGTTTTCTATGCGTGCCTTTCTCTCTTTCCGATTTCATAATAAAGCATCCTCGCGATTTATTCTTATACCGACGAGATGGGAATAAAGTTAAACTTTTTTTTTTTTTTTTTTTTTTTTTTTTTTTTTTATTCACGCTATCCAGCGACACTTTGTCAGTCACTCCGGTGCAGGATATCTTGTCGGACGCTGCCGGGTTGATTGTTTACATGCGACGAGAAATCTCGTACGAGAGGATAGTTCATTTTCGTTCGTTTATAGCTTTACTGTATTCAGATGTATCTATAGTCGGTTCGCCGTATGTCCACTAGGGTAATGCTGGGGTGCAGTGCTCGCTTGGGCTATCGTGTTTACGTGGTTTATGGTTTCTCCTGTTTTCCCTTGGCGGAGAGAGAGAGAGAGAGAGAGAGAGAGAGAGAGAGAGAGAGAGAGAGAGAGACGGGCGCGACTCCGGTATTATCTCGATTTACGGGATTTGCCGGATTACTCTACTTGGCCGGGTCTTTGCCGGGTCGTACTCTGTATCGGGACTTTAACGAAGAGTTATCGGCGTATTAACAGGCTGCCACCGATTCTCTCACTCATCCGGTCGTTCACTCGCTCACGCGTTCCTTCACTCTCTCTCTCTCTCTCTCTCTCGCTCATCAGCAACGGCAACGACAGACTCTTCTTCATCTCGGGATAATAGACCCGATGCCCATTTGCAAAACTCTCGGAAGAGTTATTACGAACGGTGTGCTATACGGGCCATTATTGATTGTCATGCAAATCGATGCATCGACTGAAGCCATAGCCGTGAGCTAAGCGAAGCACGGGGCTTCGTCTCTGTCGCGGTACTGGAGACGCGGCCTCTTGCCCTGTTGGTTCGGGTTTTACATTTTTTTTTTTTTTTTTTTTTTTTTTTTTTTTTTTTTTTTTTTTTTCCCGAAATCTAACGTCCGTCATCATTCAATGTAGATTATCGTACGTGAGGTAACGTAACGAATAAAGGGCATTTTTTGTTTTCTCCACGTGTCTCTCGGAGGAGTCTAAGCCGTTTCTCCCGTATTCCGCCTCTCCAACCACCCGTCGGTTGCCACTCGTAGTATTTCGCTTTGGGCTTGGGAACCCGCGGAGAGGGAATTCTCTGCGGTTCTCGTTCCGCCGTTCCTCCTCGTTCGAGTAGCAGCGAGATGTCGGGAGGGCGAGTCCAGGTTGTCGACGAGAGGTGGCAGGAGACGTGGGTAGGTAAGGGGGGTGTATATAGGGTGGTTGTGGAGGGTCGACGGGCGAGCGAAGAAGAGTGGAGAGAAGCATGAGAGTAAGCCGCTTATCAGGGTGGCAGCAGCCTGTATAGAACCAACCAGCGGCAGATAGGTCGGTTTCCATGGAAACACGGATCTATCCGTTTGGACCGTAACGTCCGGTCGACTACCGTCTATCCTCGTAGGCGTATCCCAAACAATATTTTTCTGCTTTTCAGCCGGATTTTTATGTTTCACTCGGGGACGTGAGCTTTTTTTTTTTTCCCATGACCCCGTGGCACGAGGTTTTCGTTGCATCGACGTAGCGATTGCCAACGACGCACGGCGTCCTTATCTTACGCCGCTAAGTCCGGCGGTTTTTGCCTCTTCTGCCCGAAGAGGTATCTCTTAGCGGAGAATTCTCGGGGACGTTTAATAATTCAGCGATACTCGTATGTACTCGGTCGGAGAGTCGATTCGTCCTTAAGAGCATACAAGAAACAATGGGTCTTACGGTAAGTCAGCGTTGACGCTCTTTAAGATTTTGGAGAGACGTTCGTAGGTGAATTTTACTCGCGGCTCTTGCGGGTATATCGTCGAAAGGCGAAACGTCAAGAATGGGGTTGAAAATTGTCGCGTGCTGAGATAAGGCTGTTTCGTGTCGTTGTACGTCTTAGCCGCCTTGTCACTGTTTATTTTATTACCCGAGAACCAGGGGGCTTCGGGGGGGGGTTCTTGTCGTAAGGGATCGGGCGCGAGAGATAGACCGAGGTATACGTTGGAAAGCAGCAAGGCTCGTACCTCGGGTATTGGGCGTCGAGGTGGTGTCAGGATGATATCGAGGGAGCGTCGGGACGAGATCCGACGCTCGTGGGAATCTCGGCATTCGGTCGTCTTTTAACTCGACGGCGTATTTGTTGTTACTGCGAAATTGCCCGTCCACTTAACTTTCACGATCGATCCCAGACTCCCGTTTCTAGGGTTTTACACGAAAAACACCTTTTGCCACTGTTCCGCCGGGCTATGGGATTGGAGAAAAAAAAAATGTAATCAACCAAAAAGATCACATTAGAATATTTTGAAGCGGATAAATATTTTTTTGAAAAAAAAAAAAAAAAAATTCGCGTACGAAGTTCAACACTGCAAACTGCACTTCGGCATTCTTCCGGCCCTAAAGTTCATGTAGTCACTTCTTAAGCGCGACACAGTCGGGGTTTAACCCGCTTTCGAAAGTTTAAAAAGTGACTACGGCTGATCGAAGCGCGACCACTTGGCTCTGCAGTTATTCTGCAGGAGGGAAAACCGTGAGAATTTCATCACGGCCAATTGAAGTATCGTGTGGCAATCGGATCGCGTTTCGAGGTTAGTTTCCACGCAAAAGGATCCCGAGGGTAAGGGGCCAGACTAGGCACGAACAATAAACCTGTCGCATCTTCAACCGGCCAATCACTCAATTAGGTATCGGCACGTGGACGGAACTATGCTGGAGTGGGTGGCACGTGTTCGGTTGTGGGGGGCCCCCGGATGCATAAACGTTAAGGGCCCGTGGGGTGTTGAGTTAAAGGGCATTCCTGGGTAGGCTGAGAGGAGGGTCTGGTTATGTAGAGGAGAGGCGGGAAAAAAAAAAGAGAGAAATGGGTGTCGGGTTTGGGGACGCGTGTCGATTTGTAAATCGAGTGGGCGGGAAAAGTGCAAATCCTGGGGCTAATTGTAGGATAAACACTCGAGGCTGAGTGAAATGTCTCGTAGGGACGGCAGTCGGGATACATAACCTATAAGGGCTGCTCGTGCCAAGTGCGTGGATGATAGGGGTAGGTGGTCCATTGGAAGCAATTTGTCCATCCTTGAGGGACTGGAGGACGTTAATGGTGGTATCGTGCTAGGAAGATTTTTTGGTTAGGCGTCGTCGTCCTCGAGCGTCGTCCTCGTCGTCGGTTGACGGTAACTCGATGCTTATCCGATTACCTTAGTCGGGGCCGGATGTGTGTTGGTATTCTGTTACTTACTTATGCTCGCCGATGCCAGGCTTATCGCTGGGATGACCGGGCACGAAGGCCACACGCACCTCTTCCCCATCGGCCATCCGTGGACCTGCTCGCCGATGCCAGGCTTATCGCTGGGATGACCGGGCACGAAGGCCACACGCACCTCTTCCCCATCGGCCATCCGTGGACCTGCTGCTTTTGCTACTCCCTATATATATATATATATATATATATATACCTCTTATTACTCCTACCTTAACCCTTTTACGTCAATTACGTTTAGAAGTTCCTCCGTTCGATTAGAAGATCCGTACACGTGTATGCATGCGCAACTATAGTCACGGCGCTGCCTCAGCCAGGTCCGTTTCAAATCGGCTTCTTGGTTTATTCTAATCGAGAAGCGCAGACCCGGCTCGTAATTCGCTGACCTGCCTATCGAAGGACGCCGAATCGCGTGGACGATAGGAGAAGCGTCGGGACGCGTATAGTGGCGCACGGCAAAGTTAACCAAATGTTTTCGTAGCTGATGGCCTTTTAGAATAGAGGGGCTGCAGACCGGTCTGTCTCTCTCGGTGACACAGGTCGACCCTTCCTCTGTCGCTCTCCCTCGGCCCTCTTCCCTCTGTCCCATGGCCGAGTAGCCACGTGCTCGTCATCCCACGGTCTCCGCGAATAATCCAACCCCCGGCGCCTATGCACATTTTAGCTTTTAATTAATTTTCGATTCGCTCCCCGGTTCGCCACCCCAGCCGCCTCGTTACCACCCCCCAAAGCACAGTTCCATCCCTTCCGCGCGGGACCAGCGCCCCGGAATTTCGTATTCTATGAATATTAAAGCCAATGCTCTGTCACTTCGTATCTCTACCCGGAGCACCGTTGCTTCGTGACAGTTTTATAAAAAAAAAAAAAAAAAAACAAACATACCTCCGTACGAACGTAGACGACGCGAGTCACTACGAAGAGTACCGGGAAATGAAATGGGGATTTTTTTTTTTTTTTTTTTTTTCCCAAGACTCCAAGGGACGAAGGTCCCTCCCCGAAATCAGCGTGGGGTTTTTTTTTTTTTTTTTTTTTTTCCCAAGACTCCAAGGGACGAAGGTCCCTCCCCGAAATCAGCGTGAAATTTCGTTAGCGGCCCATTGACTTCCTGGTGATACGCGGGGACGAAATCCAATAAACAGAAAACGAATTTGCTATTAGGGGGTCGCGTCTGATCTCGTTGCGGGCCAATGAGCCAGAGCAACCCTTATATCAACCCCCCTCGAGTCATGGCTCGCTCACGATAATAAATCGAATCATACTCCGGGAGCCAGCGGGTGTTTGCCGAGCCATTAGGGCTGCTTAGCTCGCTCGTTCCGCGTCCCCATTTTCCGGCCTCTCGCTCGCACTCACAACCAACCCGCACCCGTCCGCCGGTTAACAAGAGACGAGAATACGCGAGATTCACGACGTTCTTAAAGTCATCGCATCTCTAACCATATATATCTTTTATCTGTATATACATAGTTGACTGCCAAATTTCACACACCTGACCGAATGTCTTGGGCATCTCTCTCCTCTCTTCTCGAATCATCCGGTTGGCTTATCCGACTACAATAAGAGAGACAATTGGTGTACCGGTTTCATTGTGTTTATACCTCTCGGAATTCCAGTAGCAGTCGTTAACGGTAGCAAAACCCGTGGCCGTACGCCTACGTGACAATCAAGCCTGAACAAAGCTCTAGATAAAGATCGTAGATCGATGACTGGTAGAAAGTGCCAGTATAACCTCGAAGCTAACGTCACTCTCCGCCACGGTAAAGTCAGAGACGCGGTCGAGAATCGGCAGAAGCCAAAGTAGAGATAGACGTGGCTCATAGGTGGCGCACACACAGAAAGTAGGTACCGGCAGAGTATAGGAAGCGTTGCGCCCACCACGGTAGTCAAGTATATCAGAATTTGTATGGCAGGGCAATCTCCGAGGATCTGTGGCATGCGTGTAGCCCACTCGACCAGTTCGTTAGGCGATCCTTAAGGCGGCCTCGAGGCTTCTTCGTGCTCGTTGTCGCGACGAGGGAGCCGAAGCCCGAAATGGAGGCGAGATGACATCTCCACCGGACCCCTCCCATTTTTTCCCCTCGGGCCTAGTACCTCGCGACGTACCTCGTCTAAGAGCGTCGACGACGTCGATTTTTTTTTTTTTTTTTTTTTTTTTTTTTTTAAAGTACGACCAACGCACGGGGCTCATGGTCGTGAAACCGGGAGCGTCGATCGCTGCGTAAACAGTTGACTGGCTCAGGCGCCATTTTGGATTTGCATGCTCCTTCGCTTCCGGTTTCCTGAGATCTGATTTTCGAAATGATGCTTTTGGCTGGGTAATACAGGAGATCGTTGGAAGACGTGGGATCATCCGGTACCGGTGGGACTGTACTGATTTTGTTGGCATATTTTTTTTTTATAGTTGGTAATAACTTTTTTTTGAGTTTGATTTTCCAAAGCAACCGATACCAAGGGCAGAGTTCGAGAGTGGCGTTTCGGGTTGGTCTTGCTCGTTCGGCGTGCTTGTCCTTTGGGTTTCGTTGGGTTGGTACCGGTGTTCCCGGCAGCTGGGGCCGCGACTCTGCACGGCCCGTGTATTTCGGGGAGTCCCCCATCGGTCCCCCCGCTAAGCGGATTACGTGGGTCCCGAAACGAGCCGAGCGGGGCTTGATGGCACGAGGGGGGCTGCTCAAAATTACGCTATCGCGGCCTCGCAACGCTCACCCAGCCATCCTCCTCGTTCCTCCTGATCCTCGTCCCCCTCCGCCCTGAACTGCCCTGGCTCTGCCTCCGACGTCGCAGCCTACTACTCTGAACTCTTCCCTCCTTTCTAGCTCCCGAGGCTTGGATCGTCGTCCTCCCTTCAGCTCAGCCAGGTCCGCTCGCTCCCTCGCGCTCCTGGTCCTCCTCCTTCAGGACTTTCATATCCTCCGCGAGACCTGGACGTGGCCTAGAAATTTCTATGGCACTCCACTTGGTCCTGCTGAATTATTTCTTCTTTCCCATGTCTCTCTTCTCCGTCATATCGTTACGGGTATTCCCCTTGGTCTGTTACCAAAAAAAGTTTCCTCTTTATGTTTCAGGCATGAACCAACGCAAGCAAAGAAGAGAAAGGACCACGTTCACGAGGGCGCAGCTAGACGTTTTGGAAGGTCTCTTCTCCAAGACTCGTTACCCGGACATATTTATGCGCGAGGAAGTCGCCCTGAAGATTAGCCTTCCCGAATCCAGAGTTCAGGTGAATAAAAGTATTTTTTAATAATTATTATAAATCCGCAACCTCAGTCCCGGGCGTCTATCGTTACTTCGATGTTACGAGGTCTAGACCCGGAAGCAGAGCTCGACCTTACGATTAGCTCCAGCAACACGGTGGCTCTCGTAGGTAGGTGAGTAGGTCCAGGGAAGTCTGCGCGTGGGTGTGGACCTTGATGGAAACGCGCGAGGTCGTCGAAGTGTCAGGTCGAGGGCGCCGACGGGAAACGGTAGCGAAAAAGCTTCGTGCCGCGGCAAGCCAGCCTGAGATTTAAGGTATTTACACAGCGAGTCGAGTCAGCCCCAGCCAGCGCCAGCCAGCGCCAGCCAGCGCCATTGTCCCGCCCTTGGCATCTACATTGATAGATGCGCTCCGACGTGCCGCTGACACTTTTATTGCGTCCAAACTGACGTCTCCATTACGTCCATCCGAGGACGCCCGATAAAATTAGCCTCGACCGCAGACTCTAACCCATTGCTGGTAATATATACGCGTCTGTCGGGAGACCGAGAAACTCTTACGACTGGTCGTGACTGGGACGGAGAATGAAATTAATCAGGAATCGTCGGTACGTCACGTCCAACAGGGAACAAAAGGTTTTCGGTGAGCCAAGCCAGGAATTTTCAAAGTTAAGCCGACGTGAATACGCGGAAGGGGTGGTTGTGCCCCGTAGCCTACTACGTAACAAACACGAAGTACACCGCGAATAATATCGTTTGGCAGGCCCGTTGGACCCCGTTTGCAAGCTCAGAAAATCCTGGCTGTACAAAGAGAATGGAAGGAAGCTCGCACGGACTCCGGGCCCTCGTGGGTACCTCTGTGTAACGTTAAAGCGGTACACGGGAGAGGAGACGAACAGTTGATTTGTTCGCGGATTATAGCCCCTGCGCTTTGCGTTTACGTCTGCGCGAGAACCGGCGCAGCTGCGCCCCTCTTCGCTCCTGTCGCCGTCTACGTCCAATGAAAAGCCACCCCTGGGTAATTGCGAAAAAAAAGGACGGAAAAATCACGATCGAACTATCCACCTCGAAATCTCACCCGTCCAACTTCTCCGCGTCTTTGCTTTCGATCGTTTGACGATCCGTCGTTCCGAGGATCACAATGCAAATTCCATGCTAGTTGAGAATACTGAATTCGGCTAGACTTCACGTAGCCAGCCAATCTAGGGTCTCTGTATCCATTGTGGTATACGGGTATAATGGCAGTACGTTGGCGAACGGCGAATCGATCAGGTTGGTGACGTCATCGATTGCCGGTATGTCTTTTTCGAAATTTCACCAATGTATATCATTGTCGATCCGCTACCGCTGACGTCTTTCTTACACGGGACGGCGAGGGATGCAAACAGGAAAATATATTTGTCATAACAGTGTCAACGCAGCTGGCATCGAAACTATAGGGAACGTCAGAACGTGGAAAGGGGGATGAAAACGCGTGGATGTAAACCAGATGGTGGTGCAATTTGCACCTCGTGGATGGCATGAGACTCGGTGGTCTCTGTATTCAGGGGGGGTTGGTTGGTTTTGCTTGGTTTTTAGGGCGGGATGCCTTTCAGGCGGTTCTATGTAAACACGGGGTGGGTAATGTCTCACCCTCGCCGAATTCACCCCTGGGTCGTCCTACGGGGTATATACACAGCTCGCTTCTCGTGGGGTGCGTGTATCATTTCGTTTGCGGTTCTCGCCTAATGTCTACGTGACAATTACGTTATTGACAGTCATTATAGGTTAGGTTCTTACAGCGTGACTTTGATTAGAAAATTGTACGAGTGAAAATTTGAGGCTGAATTTTTTTTTTTTTTTTTCCATTTTCCGACAGTTTTCAAATTTTCGTCCACGCGACGTAATTTCAAGTAACTCCGGGACCGTAGACATTTCGCGTGCATCTCGTGGGAAATTTGGTCGAACGCCCAGTGCCAACAGTTGCGACCACCATGTTGCGTAACGGTGCTTGCTCTGCTATCCTCCGTGTAACGTAGATCCGGGGGATGGAGGGTGAGAGGAGGTTGCCGAGCTAGGGAAGGGGTGAGTAGGCTTTTAAGGGCGGGCATAGATTCATAGGTTGGCACCCCTAGCCACATTGTACTGGGATTACCAGGGGGCGAGCGGGGGGGTGCGCGAGGTTGCGGCACGCTCAGGGGTTGCTTTTTGTCCCGTGCGGATCTACGCACACGGACCGTCGAGCTTTTTCTCGTGTTTGTTGTTACAGTCACGCCACATCGTCCTTTTCCTCCCCTCCAGTCCCTTTGCCCCCACTCCGCGTCCATTTCTCCAGCGCCCCCTTTATCGGCCTTCGGCTTTTCAAAGTTCCGCTCTCGGTCGCTACTAAGAGCGGGTGGGAGCCTCCCTATAGATGGTCGGAATCCAAGTGAAAGTGTTTTATATCGTTCGAGTGACGTCACGTTTTAAAAAATTTGTTTTCAATCCTTTCAGGTCTGGTTCAAGAATCGTCGTGCAAAGTGCCGGCAGCAGTTGCAGCAGCAGCAGCAAACGTCACCGCCGAAGGGGTCGCCGCGTACCGGACAGTCGCAGAGCACCTCCAAGATCTCGACGACCACGACGACCCCCAACAGACGCTCGTCGCCCGTTTCACCTCCGCGGGCCAAGGAAGCGCCAGGCCCGAACTCCCCGTTGCTCTCGGCCACGTCGAGCTATCCGCGTCTAGGGGCAACGCCGACCGGTGGCAGCGGAGCAAGCAGCGCCTTGACGACACCATCACCTCCTCTGACTCCGGGGGCCAGCCAATTGCCGCCATCCTCGTATCCGCCATCCTCATATCCGCCGGCCATGAATCAGCTTCATCACGCAGCCGGGGAGTATGGCTTTCCCTGGAGTTCAGCATCCCCTGGTGCCGTCAACGCTGGACAGTGCTACGCGCCTGGACAAGGATACAACGCATATCAGAACCCATACGCCACCGGGGACTATTATCAGACTCAGATATCCCACATGCACCACAGTCCTCAGGGCAACTATCACCATCATCATCATCATCACTCTCAGTACCAATAGTAGTAGTTTGTGGCTGTTTCTTGAATTGGAAGGAACGAGAATTAGCGACGGGAGTGGGTCAGGGTGGCCACGTTTCAAATACAATGTCATTATAAAATATATAGTAGATTATAATATTAATATTAATTTCTATCGTTTCTTTTTTTTTTTTTCTTCTCGGTATAAACGTTTCTTTTCTCCATTTTCTTCTCCGTACTGTTTCCTGGATTTTACAGTAAGTCTTTTGCGTTTCCCGCTTGTCCTGTCCTTGTACGGCACAGAAGAGCTTCCTACGTGTGCACGAATAACGATACCGAGGGAAGGCAAAATTGGAGTTATGTTGTCCAAAAATAAAAGGAAGGTTGTTCTTTTTAGAAGCAACGGTAGGGTACTATGTTTCAGTACAAACTACGTTTTAAAAGAGTTGTGATTGAATATCATTTGTATCATTTTATTGACGATTCAAACATGTATGTATATTTGAATATAAAGGTGACGCGTTACTATTGTACTGCTATTGACTTATTTGGTTTTATTGTATTTATGCTGTAATTATTTTCAGTTCGAATAGCTTTCGACTGCTCGTCTGCCAATTAATGATCCAACGTAGACACGACTTTTAATCCATTTGTGAACCATCAAAGTTATAAGGGCTTTAATTGAAGTCGCATTTTATAACGAACGAGACACCAGAAACTTTGTTATTTAGCAATAGAACAGATCTGAGTAAAATAGATAAAGGATAGCAATTTTATATATCATTGAAATAATATTAGTAAAAGCACGACTGCTTCAGGTCATGTCGTATTGAGCGGTTCAATCGTGATTGGGTTAATTGCTTTCACCGAGTATCATTAAAGACCCAAATGATTAATTTATAGAATACGTTTCGTGATTCCATTCCAGTAATGTAAATATTAATTCGCATTCGAAAATTACACGAAATTTTGATTTTATCACTTTTAATATTAAATAATTTATCACTAAGCTCTTATTTTTTTAAATAATATACGTCGACCCCTTCGTTAATTTCCCTCTAGAACTTCGTATCCTTATTCTACCCTATACGTCCTTCATTATAAACACTGTAAATACACTTCCAATTTCTTTGCTCGAAAATGCATCTGTATCCCTTGTTTTCTTTCTTGTCACAATTTATTATGACGTTATTATCCTTTTCTCTGGAATCCATAGAGTTTCCTCTATTGGCAATACCTCCTCAAGATTATGGATCTGGGCATGAGTACACCCAGGTTCGTTCACCATCATCATCATCATCATCTAGACTCCTGCCGTTGTGGCTGTGTGTCCTAAGATGCCTATGAGGAGTCTCACCTGACAATATTATAAGTTCCATGAATATTTTGCAAGAGTAAAAATTCAAGGCGACCGTTTGGCACTCAAGGATTTCTGGCAGGTGCGTTCACGAAGACATCATCTTTGAGGTGGACAAGATCAGTCGACTTCACAGAGGACAACTTCACCTTATGAACTCGTGATGAGCTGGAGATTACCTCGTTGTATGCTCCTGTAATGTTTAATCCTTTAAGTAATACATTACGTAATTGGGAATCACTCTTTTTATTGTTATACATACTCCTTCCTGTTGTCGACTAACTGCTCGTCACGCTCTACATCCTTCCCATGGTACCCACGTTCTCCACCGTGAACGCCACTTACTTGCTTCTCAACAGCTACACGTCGACGAAGGTACTTGTTGATCTAGAATGCGAAATCGTTTAGCGAAAAATTGCATTAAAACCTGTCAAATTTCTACACAATTTGATGCATCAGATAGGGAGACTCACCAGTCTAATTTATGCGATCCGTGGTTTGTAGTACTTAACGCCAGCACCGGTGGTTAGATCTTACAGAGAGATGTGATACCAACATAAAGGTTATTTAGATACGGACTCATCCACGGTACAGCGAAGCTTAACGACGCCTGTAAGGAATGACTTTTACTATAACCCCATTTACAAGAATACTTAAGTCATTTCTTTGCGGTTAATCAACTGCATACCAGTGGCTTTTGTTTAATTCCTATCCTTAAACATTATACTTGACTTTTCCTTTTTCACGAGCTAGCACTTGGTAATTGACCCGATGAGTGCAGGGGGGTCGATTCGACCCAGGCAGTAATTTCAAATTTTCCCTATCTAGAAACCAAACAAGAGGACGGGGCCTGTATATGATAAATTAATTCGGCAAATCTTTTATTTCAAAATTTTATCGTACAGCCATGAATTTTTTTTCAGATTTTTAGAAAAACATTTCCCAGTCCAAGTATGAGGTCGAACCCTTCCCGCCCCCTACACTTACGTGGTGTAAGGAAAAGCCCTACAATGATCGGGTTAAGCTTGGCAAGACTGCTACTCGAGGATCCTTTGTACGGTTCATAGTGAGTAGTAGGGGAGGGAATAAATATAGGACTGAGATCAAGTAGGCGTTATTCTACAGTATCAAAATAGTGTCCCAGTGATAAAGACTGTTATCAGCCACTACCACCGTAGCTGTCGAGAACGTGTTAGTAATTTTGAGTATTTACATGGATATTGAAGTGTTGCCATCTTCAGGGAGAACTCTCTAGTGTCTTCTAAGGTGAGTATAAAATTTTTGGTGAATATTTGTTAGAAGTGGCAAATTTTTAATACGTTCATAATGAGGCTGTTAATGGATAAAAAATAAATAATGAACAAAGGAATGCGTGGCGTGAGACTTGAAGATCAGTGATTCCCATTAAAAGGAGCTCCCGGCAAAACTGCGATTGTTGCTTTCGCAGGAGAAAAAAAAAGAAAGAAAAAAAGTACTTTCAGAGTAATTGGTCGTGAAACCACCCTCGGATTGTTTTTCAGGACCCCGACGGTACGAGACTTTCGAGTAACAGTTATGTACTTTGCTATATAGAATAATTCCAATGTCGCTTTTCATTTTCCACTCACAAGGTTCTTAACCGAGGATCAGCCGTTGTGGAGCTAATAATCAAAGTGATGCCTTTTGCTACACAGCGATAGAAGGTAGAGGTGGGCAATGCAATTCTGTTAATGCACGTTACCATTAATTAACGTGATGGGTCGTGTACGCTGTTCAAATTGGTTTTATAATTTTATCCAAAATTCGTGTCTCAAACGTTGTTTGAGACGTTGGTCGTTGTACAGTATTTCCTGTATTTTGTTTACCTGTAACAGTGAGGTATAAGATTGAATATTTGGACACTGGTACACATATAGAAATTACCAGAATATTTGATCATTTGATAACAGACTTTACTTACATGGGATATTTGAGCTTGCCAGGACTCAAGGATCTGTTGAAGTAAATTGAACGGGTGTTAAGTCATTGTATAATTTTGTAGATTATAAATTTCAGTACCAATAGAGGGTGAAGTGCTTAAGGTATACCTTCGAATGGATCTCAGTCGATAGCAAATGAAACGAGCGTAGCTTGCACAGTTCATAAGAGAAAGGGAGACGGAGAGTTCATCGTTCGCAATTCATTGGATTCCTATTATCGTGTATTAATAAGTATCCACTGCGAGGAAGGGCTTCCCGGATGAACGTAGAGCGAGAGAGTAGAGAAAATGGAGAGAAGAAGAGGACGCGTCCATAGGGACAGCCAAGGGGTGAGCAGCAGCCTACCCCATTTTCGTGCGCCCGGGATTTCCCTTGGCCTTTCAGAAATACTGAGGATACAGATGTAACCCTCAAAACATCTGTAGTGTATTTGTGGCTGTGGTCTGTCAATGAAATCAATTAAAAATTTCCAAAAGATACGTCAAAAAGGTATCAACGTATTACAAAGAATATATATGTACACATACCTGATAATCATTTCCAAGCGACTTTGATTAACCGAAAAGAGGGAGTCTTATCTGCTTTGCTGGATCAGACTTTGTTAATCTTTATCAAAAGTGCAATCACATAATTAGCTAGTCCATACATCGTCCAACGGTCCATTAGGCAGTTTGCAGGGTAGGTAACCAAGTAAGCACGTAGAGAGGCACAGGTGTAGCGTGGGCCCCCTGAGGGTGGAGTAGATTCTGCTACGGGGGTTGAAACGCAAACAACCTAAACGTCCGACAAAAGAGACCCCACGCGTTCTGCCAGGCTAATTGGACGGATAGCGTACCTGCCAGTCTTTTGACCGGCTAATCCTTCGTCCTTTCAGGCTCATCAGCCTAACGAGCTGTGGCGAACGGGACTCCTCCTAGTAGCCTTCCCGATAAACAATCCTTCCCTAGTACCCGAGTATCTCTCGGAATAGCGTCAATCATTTACCAGTAGCATAACCTGAAAGTGCCATAGAATACATACCTAGGTAATATCCTACGCGCGCCGCGCATGCGCAGTACGTTGCGAGTGACGCGCGACAAAGTAACAGCTGTCAAATAACGATGCACCACACTGTCGGTGCGTAAAGTTTCGAGGTTAGCATAGCACGAGTCACGTAACCTGCACGAACTTCTGACAAACGGTGTCTCTCCTGTAACTCGAGGTATTGCCGGTAAGTAGTATCCTTTTGAACAAAGCCGTTTTGCGGTGTCCTCGTGGGGGGCTTCCTCCAGGACTCCGTGGGCACTCCGGGAAAGCAGTGTACGCAGTCGAGGTTACCGCGGGGTGTCAGTAGACCTCGTCGCGGCAGACAATGGCCTTGAACTTGGCCGAGTGCAACGGCGAAGAGTTAAAATCGGCTTGCGTTTAGCCGGATCCCATTATAACAACTCGGGAGAGCCGGCATAAGCTCGACGCTCGCCTCAGTGCTGCCTCACTGTGTCACCGGGCTAAGCCCGGACTTACCTCTTTACCTCTACCACCTATACCATACTTACTCTTCTGCTATCTTGCTCACTCGAACCCACGTTCCATAGATTTCTCCGTCCTCTTCATTCATCCAGTCCTTTACTCTTTGCCTTTCTTTACCCCTTTACGCAGAATACTCGTACTTACTACCTGTCCTCCTTTAACCTTCTTGATACACTGACGCTCATTGTTGTATACAGTTGCCGACTGATCCTGCGAGAGCTCACAATTCCTTACGTTAAATGAATCATCTTTCGTAGCAACTGGTTAATTTGTACAATCGGTATGACATTTGTAAGGGATATTAGGATAGGTCATTGAGGTAACGGTATTAAGACGGTAGATTGAACTTTTTTTTCCCAAAGAATTTCAAAGCATTTTTTTTCCTTTTTTTTCGAGCTTGTTAGACCGTTACTTTCTTGTTAGCATGGATCGGGATAGATTTTACTATCCTAGGATTTTCAACGAGTAAGTCACTTTGGGGGTTATCGATCCGGAAGGGTGTAATAGTTGGCGTAGAATTCCTTTCAGCGATTAGCAATAGGCCTAACGAGTCGGCGTGTGATCAAAGAAATAAAAAGGAGGCAACTCGCCGGTAAAGGGATTGCTGATTGGTTAACGCTCGCTAAGCGGCAGTTTTAAAGTCGCAAATCGAATGAGTCGCGGCGCGCAAATTCGATTGAAAAATTGCTAGGTAGGCTTCCGCTTTGATCTTCGACCCTACGTGGATGCTGTATGGGACTCGCTATTAGATATACGATATAGATATAAGATATAAATACAGTGGTGGTCCTGTCTATCTCTTTTCTCATGATACGTATTACGTGTTTCCGGTAGATCGACTCGGCACAAGGAAGCGTTCGAGGGATCCAGCAGGAATTCGAAACTCAACGTCAAAATGGTGAACCTGCCAAAGGTAATACGTCTCCTTTTTGGTCAATAGACGGTATAAGAATGTATCTAATACGTCTCTTTGTAGATCCAATTAATTCAGGATCGTCGAGCTCCGTCACCTGGAAAGGTCTTATTGCTCCAGGAGCATTCTCCACCAGGTTGCCTCCTTCATAATTTTTTTCTTCTCCCTTTAAAAGATCCACGAAATAAGGATGTGGACGATTAATTCGTGATCCTGAGAGACTATCCGACCCAATTTTCAAAGTTCGAGCGGTCCGGCGAGTCACACACGTATGCGGGCCTGTGTGTATACGTATATGAAAGATCAGAAGCCCCGGCAGGAAGTCAAGGGGCGCGAATGCATTGTTAAGCCCCCTCTGTCCAAACAGTACCTCACCCTGGGCACTATCCACCCTCTCTTCAGCCTCTATCCAGCCTCTTTCTGCCCCCTTTCCATCGGTGTGCCTAGCGACTACGCGTAATCCTAAAAAATGGACCGACGGCTTCCGGCCCGACGTTCCTGAGGGGCACCCAGGGCATCCGCTCTCGTCGTCTCTTCCACGGCGGCAACGTGTTCAGTGTACAAATCAAAACGGAAGAAAACAAGTAAAACAGCACAAACGGCTAATGCAGGCTAAAGGCGAGTCTTCATCGAAAATATTGTCCATATCGAGTTTCAATATCAGCGACGGTCGTAAGTATTTAAATTTTTTGTCACTGAATACGAACCAGTTCAGATCTACTTCTCTGCTGTTTACAGATTTTTATACATAACGTGAATTTCCTGCTGCACTGGATTTACGTAAATATCAACATGTAACCTGACAGCAAGACTCACGCAGCACCTGTACAGTCCTTTCGAGAAAGCCACAGTAACGATAAGAGAAACTTACAACACGCTGTCGAGATATCAGGAAGACCAAATGGACCAAAATTCCCTGGGCAGCATCACTATTAAAGAGAAAGGGACTTTACAAAGACGACAAGAATTGTCATAGACCTTGCTAATAGTACTCTAACGGATGAAAAGGAACAGAGCGAGTGATGGGCAAGTGGATGCTGCGAGAGGACAGAGATGGTCCTTAGTCCCTGTGACTCTCTCATCCTCCAGGAAGGATCTCGCTCCTGCACGAGAGAGGGTCCTATAAATAATTAGCGAGGAGTCGCTCTCCGCTCGGCAGGCGTAAGCCGCTTACAACCCCCCTGCATCCTCCTCCTCCGGTACCCTCGGTCCAGGATGGTAGATATTCTCGCTGGTAGGCCACCCCCGAATCAACCCTCTTGCCAACCTCGCGTACCCTCGCGTCAGCCAGAGATAGGAACCATCACGAACCCAACCGACTGGTACCCTTACGCAATGAAATTCCCGGTACCACCCTCAAGCCCCTTCCCACCTTCTGATATATCCGTGGCTTCTATGTCCATCGGCTAATTGATAGCACGTGCCTTGCCCCCCCCCCCCC